GGGTATGATAGGGTAGGGAGTGGTGTGGTATGGCATGGTATAATATGATGTGATGTGGAATGGCATGGCTTGGTATGGCATCACATGTGACATTGTGACATGTGGTATGACATGGTGTGACATGTGCTGTGACTTGGTGTGGCATGGTATGGCATGGCATGGCTTGGTATAATATAACATGATGTGGTATGGCGTGGCCTGGTATGGTATTACACGGTGTGACATGACAGGTGTGACATGTGCTGTGACTTGGTGTGGCATGGTATGGCATGGCATGGCTTGGTATAATATAACATGATGTGGTATGGCGTGGCCTGGTATGGTATTACACGGTGTGACATGACAGGTGTGACATGTGCTGTGACTTGGCATGGCACGGTATGCATGGCATGGCCTGGTATATGATGGTGTGGCATGGCCTCATATGGCATTACATGTGTGACATGACATGATATGACATGGCATGGCATGATATGACGTGGTCCCCCAGTTCTCCTGACAAAACCTACTTCCATTAATGCAGGTATTTCAGTCAAGTAGCAGGAGCGCTCACTCAGCCCTGTGGGACAGTGGTAGGTGACACAAGAGGCCCTGCTCTTAGTGGCTTTGCCTCAGGGTGGCTGTCCGGAGCTGCTGTCACTGAAACACCACAAGGGGTCGGCTTTGAAGAGCAGGGATGTACTGCCTTACTGTTCCAGGGGCTGATGTCCAGACCAGGGTGTCAGCATGCCAACTCCCCGGGGAGCTTCTCTACAGCTTCTGGTGGCTGCCAGCAAGCCTTGGGGCCCTTTGCTTGTAGACTAGCCCCACCGTGACATCTGTGTGTGTGTGTGTCTGCATCTATTCTGCTCAGAAGTGATTAGGTTTAAAAGCCACCCTACTCTTGTGTGACCTCATTCACATGACAGAGTTGTTGTTGTTGTTGTTATGTGCCGTCGAGTCAAACCCGACTCATAGCGACCCCTCCTTGGGTTTCCGAGGCAGCATCACTACGGAAGTAGGATTGCCCAACCTTCCTTCCGAGGAGTGGCTGGTGGGTTTGAACCGCCAGCCGTCTGGTTAGTGTCTTAGCCACTATGCTACCAGAGCTCCCACATGACAGAGAGGGCCCTTAATTCCCCAACAGGTGACGTTCAAGGGCAGGGCTGGGCTTTACCCTGTACCAGTAAGTTAGTCCTGTCTTTGAATGGTTAAGAGAGAAAGTCCTTGTCTTTGGGGCTGATTTCCACTCTAAAGTCCTCCCAGTCCCCGTCACAGTGTGGTAAGGCCCTGCCACACTCTTTGTCTGGGAGACAGAGAGGAACTGTTGTTCCCAAAGTCCCCAACAGACCTGAGACTGCCTCCACCAATAAGGACCCAGCTCAGCTCAGAGTGCGGTGCTTACCAACTCTTCAGAGCTCTATTGAGCGCTCAGTAGCTTCTGTGCTGTTTGTGGGTTTTTATCCAGCTCAGCTCAATATTTAAGTTCCTAAGAACTCATCAAGCTTACCTCCATCTGACACACGGAGTGCCTGTCATCCCATGGAGCGTTTCCCTGAAACAACCGTATCCGACTCACAGGCGCTCCAGAGGACAGTGCGTTTGCCCCGGCTGTTCATTGTTCACCAGGCCATGTGGCCCTCCAGAGAGAAGGCCACACCGACCGTATAGGCATGTGGCCCAGTGATGCTAATTTTCCTTCTCATGAATCAATGATTGTGCCTTCCCCTGGGACCACTTTCATGAAAGGTTGACAAATCGGTAAGACGTAATTATCAATAAAAAAAAATTTTAAAAAAAGGCGTTCTGGTGGTGCAGTGCCTAAGGCATTTGACTGCTGATCAGAAGGTTGATGGTTCAAACCCACCAGCCACTCCATGGAAGGAAGACAGGGCAATCTACTTCCATAAAGATTTACCACCTCAAAAACCCAACGGGGGTTGCTATGCATCAGCACTGATTCAGTGGCAGTGGGCTTGGTGTTTTTTGGTTTGGTTTGGTTTGGTTTTTTGGTTTGGACCATTAAAAAGGCAGACAAAGAAAATGGACTGGCCCTAAAAAAATCGGCCTTCCTTGGCCCAGTGCCACCAGGAAGCTCACTCACTCAGCAGGGCCAGCCTGGGGATGCTCGCTGTTCAGGACAGGATGGCACTCACCACCAACACTCCACGCCCAGGGGCTCCAAGAGGTCACTTTCCCCACTCTCACAGGAGATAAGAGGGTTAGGATTCGATAAGACGGATGACCTGCCACTCGCTTTACCTCTTCCCGCCCACCTGTCCTCCTTCCTTTCTGCTTGTCTTTCATGACACATGGACCTGCGGGACCTGAGGTGCAAGGACCAAGTTCACCTGTCGCCACAGAGTTGGCTCGGACTCAGTGACCCCACGGCTGTCAGAGCAGAACCCCCCTCCACAGACTTTCAGTGGCTCATTGTCTAGAAGTACATCACCTTTCTCCCAAGGCACCTCTGGACTGGAAGCTCTCACCTTCTCAAGGCTAACCACTCGCAGCACCCAGGAAGCCCTCCTCAAAAGGAGGCACACAACCAAATATCGTGTACAGGTTGCTGCTCAGGAGAAGATGGCCTTCGAGCCAATGGGTCCGCCGGCCCCACACATCAGCTCTGGGATGGCAGCTCACAGGCACCAGAACCGTGGGGACTCAGGAACCCGCCTGCCACCTTCCTGATGTGGGTCCAGCTTCTCACCCCAGGTCTCCTGCTCGCAAAGGGCCATGTCAGCTGAAGCCCACAGATTCTGGTTAAGTGGGCACCAGGCTGTCATCCTGCCCTTGCCAGGAGCATCGTAAGAGCAGGGTGGGCTCAGGACTTCAGCTGTGAACTCAGTCTCCCGTCAGTGTCCCCTGCTTGGAGCGCTAAGTGGCACGCACACAGGGGCACTGCTGCTGACTCCGAGCTGGAGGAGGAAAGGAGACGGGGGACTGTTTCCCGTAGAACATGCATGTGCTCCAACACGTGCCAGGTCCTCATCTCAGAAGCCTGTCCTCACAAGGACACGCTTCCTACTCCACTGGCCCCTGCCACACAGCTGCTCCGGCAGGTCAGGGCCTCCCCTGTGACATCGCCCCATGTGCCCCTCAGGTGGTGTGACCCTGGGACAGGGTTTAGAGGCCTCAGGCGCCTCCAGGAGCTCCCCTGGAAGGCATTTTCTAGGCTGTCTCCAGATGCCACTTCCCCTGTGCACCTTTGTGTAAGATGCTGTGGGTTTTCTTTCTCACATCATGGCGCCCAGTCCTGAAGTCCAGGGAACTCATTTCTCTGATGAACAGAAACACAGATGTTCCCTCAGTTCCACACAGTCCCAGCTGGGGCACTCTTCTCTGGGTTAGTTCTGAACTCGGACCCTCACCCCTGCCCCTGTGCAGCAGTGGACAGCCGGGTCAAGCAGTGACACCCCTTTGCTGTGGTGGACAGTGGGGTCAGGCAGCTGACACCTTTGCCATGGTGGACAGCCAGGTCACGTGGGTGATACCCCTATGCTGTGGTGGACAGTGGGGTCAGGCAGGTGACACCTTTGCCGTGATGAACAGAGGGTCAAGTGGGTGACACCCCTATGCTGTGGTTGACAGTGGGGTCAGGCAGCTGACACCTTTGCCACAGTGGACAGCCAGGTCACATGGGTGATACCCCTATGTTGTGGTGGACAGTGAGGTCAGGCAGATGACACCTCTGCCATGATGGGCAGAGGGTCAAGTGGGTGACACCCCTATGCTGTGGTGGATAGCATGGGAGCACCCACTTGCAGAGGGTCTTTCCCAGCCCCCACCCCTCCTGCCCCAAGTGAAGTGTCCATTTCTACGAAACCTGACAATCAGGGTCTCCAAGTCAGAAAGTCATGAGCATCTTGCAGGGAGAGATGGAGTGGGGATGTGGGTGATGCCACATGATCATGCTGCGGGGGGGGCGGGCAGGGACATGACTGATACCACATGGTCAGGTGGGGTAGAGCGGGGGTGATGTCGTGTTATTAGGTGGGGGGGCAGGGGTGATGCCATGTGGTCAGGCTGGGGGAGAGCAGGTTTATGTCATGTGGTCAGACTGGAAGGGGAACAGGATGATGTCACATGGTCAGGCTAGGGGGAGATGGGATGATGTCATGTGGTCAGGCTGGGGCAGAGATGTGGTGATGTCACGTGGTCAGGCTAGGGGGAGATGGGATGATGTCATGTGGTCAGGCTAGGGGGAGTGGGGTGATGTCACGTGGTCAGGCTGGGGGAAATCGGGTGATGTCATGTGGTCAGGCTGGCGGGGGAGATGTGATGTCACATGGTCATGTTGGGGGGGAGTGGGGTGATGTCACGTGGTCATGTTGCGGGGAAGCAGGGTGATGTTGCATGGTCAGGCTGAGGGGGAGATGTGGTGATGTCATGTGGTCAAGCTGGGGGTAGCAGGGTGATGTCACATGGTCAGGCTGAGGGGGAGATGGGGTGATATTGCATGGTCAGACTGGGGGGAGCGGGGTGATGTCATGTGGCCAGGCTTGGGGTAGCAGGGTGATGTCATGTGGTCAGGATGGGGGGGAGATGTGGTGATGTCACATGGTCATGCTGAGGGAGAGTGGGGTGATGTCACATGGTCAGGCTGGGGGGAGCGGGGGTGATGCCACGTGGTCATGCTCGGGGGGAACAGGGGTGATGTCACATGGTCAGGCTGGGGGGGGGAAGTGGGGTGATATCACATGGTCAGGCTGGGGGGAGCGGGGGTGATGCCACGTGGTCAGGCTGGGGGGTGATGTCACATGGTCAGGCTGGGGGGAGCGGGGGTGATGCTAGAGGGGAGCAGGCGTGATGTTGCGTGGTCAGGCTGGGAGGGAGATGTGGTGATGTCATGTGGTCAGGCTTGGGGGGAGATGTGGTGATGCCACGTGGTCAGGCTGGGGGGAGATGGGGTGGCAGGGGTCATGGATGCTGCTGCACAGTTGCACTCATGGGTGTGATGGGGACAAGGAATGTGGGTGACACCACGTGCTCACAGCGCTCTGCCTTCTCTTCAGGATTTGAAGGCTGTCCTCTCCCTGCCCCAGCACCCAGGGGAGCTCCTGCACCCCGTGGTCTATGCCTGCACGGCGGTCATGCTGCTGTGCCTACTCGCCTCCATCATCACCTACGTCCTGCACCACAGGTGAGGCTGGCACTGCTGGGTGTCCCCAAGGCACCACGTGTCCACCTCCAGGTCACGCTCAAAGGAAACCTTGCTGCTCCACACTCAGGAAGGGGCCCTCCCTCCAAGGTGTTCCATGGGTCACCAGCCCGAGGGTGGATGCTGCCCCGGGAAAGGTGGCCTCCCCAATGACCCACACTCCCCCGCTCAACCGCGGCGCCACCTTTTCACTGGGCCAGGTGGAGTTGGTTCCTATCCAGATGGCGCAGCTGGCAGAAGCCCACACCCGTGGGAAGCCAGAGCCTCGGAGCACCTCGTTGAGCCTCTGTCCCACTGGTCAGTTTTGTAGTCCTGAGCATTTTTCCTGGGGGGCAGAACACCCTCCATGGGTCTGCACCATCTGAGAGGCTCTGGGCAAATGTGACAAGTTGTCATGGCCGAGGACATTGTCAAGGTAATGATGAAAATCAGAGTTCTAGGCAAAGCCCTGGCATGGCCTTAACCATGGTCCCAGGCAGGGGCCTGGACAGGTCCACAGCCATAGTGCAGCGTGGAGCCATAGTTGAGGCAGCAGTCATGGACAAGGCATAACGTAAGTGTGGCCATAGCCAGGGTCAAGGGCAGAGCTTCAGACATGATTCTGGTCACAGAGTGGGTCCTGGTCATAGACAGCATCCTGGCCCAGGGTGTGGGCCTGCTGTGCCCACCTGGAGTCTAATCCACCTACGTATATGCCACGAATCAGACAGTATGGTATATATTGCATACAGTTACTTTCCTTCCTGGGCTCTCGGTATGTGCCGTTCTCATTCCCATGATGGAGAGTGTGCCCACTGCGGTCCACACCCTTGGAGTTGGTTGCCCACCCATTCCAATCATGGGGAGATGTCCACCGCAGTCCGTATCCTTGGGGTTGCCCACCCATTCTCATCATAGGACACATGGCCTGAGTAAGAGCACCAGCTGTCATGTCACTCGCGAACACAAGTTCCTAAAGTGACACCCCTTCCCCACAGCGCCATCCGCATCAGCAGGAAAGGCCGCCACACGCTTCTGAATTTCTGCTTCCACGCAGCGTTGACGTTCACGGTGTTCGCTGGCGGGATCAATCGCACCAAGTCCCCAATCCTGTGCCGGGCGGTGAGTGCTGTCCCTGCTCCATGATTCTATGAAAATTAAACCACCCCTCAGCTTATCTACCAAAAGGAAAGCCGCACCATTGAAGGAGTGGGGCATTTTCTGGGGTCTCTTGCGGAAGCATCATCGGGCAGCTAGTGTGTCTGGCACACAGTTGATTGCTCAGCATCTGGTCATGTAAAATGGCTTATTTTAAAATTGGAGCCCCTTACACTGAGGCCTGCGTTGGAGACGTGCTAACTAGACACTTACCCTCCAATCACTGCTCATCCTGGAGTGGTGACGCATGAGCCACTTCTGAACTCACTGGAGGAGCCCAACCCGAAAGGGGCTTGGAACTGGGAAGGGGCGGGCATGGAAGAGGTGGAGCCAGGAAGGGGCCCAGGAGCAGGGGAAGAGGGCAGAGCCAGAAGGGGCTGGGCTGCTTCCCTGTTGCCAGCTTCGAGGCTGCAGACACGCACACCCCGACTTGTAATCAGGGGAGATACCAATGCATGGGTCGCCAGGAGTCGAGGACACAGAAAACCAAGTAGAGATGGTCCCACCCCTCCCGCATCTGGACCCGGCCGCCTGAGCCACAGCCAGAGCTCAACTGCGAGAGGGTCTCTTTTCCACCTTAGGTGATGCTGGAACTTCAGGCCAGTAAGCACTGGGAAGGACCTCAAAAAGCCACCAAAACAGGCGTTCCTCCCAGTGACAGTGATGGCTCAGGAAGGGCCCTGCCTGCGTAGCACCGCACAGGTGCAGCCCCGTTCTGGGTCAGCCGCCTAGGCTGTGAGCCTGGATCAACCCTGAAACAGCTCTGCTCCAGACCCGTGGTACCGGGTGCATCTTCCTGGTGCTCCAAATGAGGGACAGCCCTGAGCTTTAGGGAACTCACGCACATCCACACAAACCCACATCACAGGCCACCAAGTTGGAGTCAGGCTCCCCAGCCATCCCTAGCCCAGCGTGGCCAGGCAGGTAGCCACGAGAATGCGCCTAAGACTCCTGAACCGAGCTGGCTGGAGAGCTTGGGAACAGAGCCCACCAGCTATGGGACACCTGCTGTGTTCCCCTGTGAGTGCCTGCTGCAGCAGTCGGGAACACCATGAGATGGGCCATTATCAATAACATTAATTATTATTTATGTCCACGCTGCTGCTAGGAACTCATCACTTTTAGGGACAGGTGGCAGCCTGTGGCCTGCAGCCCCTCATGGACCACGTGCCCTGCTGCCAGAGGAGACCTTGGGAGCTGTGCCTGCATGGCCACCCAGGCATGGGCTTGGGAGACCCAGCCTCCACTGTGGGGTCAGCAGGGGCAGCACTGGAGGTGTTTGGTGGGGGGAGGGGGCCAGCTTGTTAACAAGAGCAGTGATCAGTTTGACACCAGAGCCTGATAACACTCCAGACTCACAGGAAGGGGGCCTCCACGTGCCTCAGGAAAGAGGACAAGACCTGTTCCTGAGGCCGTCTCCAGTTTTATCCCCACTTCTACACAGCAGCCAGGACACCTCCCATCCACATACCTGTCCATCCTGCCATTCAGCAAGTGAGCACCCAGGGCCCCTGTGCCCGGCCTGTGGCAATACTGGGCTCCCTGGGGATGAGCATCAGAGCCAAACCCCCAGACCAACCCCGAGTGCATCTGAGTGGAGTGAACCTGGGGAGGGGAGGGCTGGAGTTCCGAAGGCGGCCTCAAGGCCCTCCCTTGTGATGGCCCAAATGAGGCCTCACCTCCACGTAGTCCTCACAGACGTGAGGAGAAGGTGTGTGTCTACACAAGGCCACCTCGTGTGCCTGGGCCTCATAGATGTGATGAGAAGACGTGTGTGTCTGTACACGTGGCCACCCCATGTGCCTGGGCCTCGTGGATGTGACAAGAAGATGTGTGTCTACCCAAGGTCACCCTGTGTGCCTGGGCCTCACAGACGTGATGAGAAGACATGTGTCTATAAACGGCCACCCTGTGTGCCCGGGCCTCCCAGACGTGACAAGAAGACATGTTTCTGGGCCTCACAGATGTGACGAGAAGACCCTAGTGTGTCCTTGCATGAGCCTGCCCCATGCACAGCCTCACAGGTGAGGAGCAGATTGAAGAGAACCCTGAGGGGACAGGTTGAAAACCAAGAAATATGTGGAATTTCTCAGTCGGCAGCCAGGGTGTCCCCAACACTGACACCTTGCCCACCTGGGAGCCACTCTTGGGGCCTACCCAGGACTCCTCAGGGCCAGCATCCCCTTCCCACCCATGCTACCAGGTAACCATTGAGAGAAGGACCAGTATTCCCAGATGCAGAGAACAGACGGTTGTTATGGCAACAAAGAGATGACCCTGAGGCTCGTTAAAAGCAGAGTGACATCATAAACACACACAGATGGCCGCTGCTGGCCACATAATCAATGGGCGGTACTGGCCGAGGGTCAGGAAGCTGGTGGTGCAGTTCAGGAGGGGGGAGAATGCTATTGGAGGCCAAAGCACACCCTGCAGCCACTAGCATTTAATAGATTTTCTTGGAGCTGTTTCAGGTGTGCAGAGAAACAGCACAGGAAGTGCAGGGGTTTACCAGCCCCACTTCCGTTACGCGGTTTCTCCCTTCACTAGTGTCTGCTGCCCGTGGGACACATGGGTTGTGACTGGGGAGCTGAAGCTTTAGTAACTAAACCTGTAGTTCACGTGAGCGTGTTGCACAGTCCTGTGGGTATGACATGCAGCATGTCACATGTCCACCAGGCAGCATCACACAGAATAGCTTCACTGCCCTGAAAATGCCCTGGGTTCCGCCTGCTCATCCCCCTCCCTTCTCAAGCCCTGGCAGCCCCCGACCTGTCCTGTCTCGTAGCTGTGTCTTTTCCACAATGTCATCTGCTTGGAATCATGCAGTATGCAGTCCTTTCAGACAGGCTGCTTTCACACAGCACTGTGCACGTAAGGTCCTTCCGGGCCTTTGCTGTGGCTTCATCACTGCTCTGCCTTTTTACTGTTGACTAGACTGCACTGCATTGACGGCCACGGTGTGTTTATGCCTCCACCCACTGAAGGACAGCTCGAAAAGAAAGAATGAAGACACAGAGCATACGTCTTTCATGAAGATTAACTCAAATTGGACCACAGCCCTAGATGTAAGATGCAGAAGCCCACAACTTCAACGTCACGCAGGAGAAAATCCAGGTGACCTTGGGTTTGACGATGACTCTTCCGATACACCACCAAAAGCATGATCCATAAAGAAAAAAAAAAAATGACTTCATTGAAAGGAAAAGCTGCAGTTCTGCCAAAGACCTGTCTGGAGAACGAGAGGACTGTGGACCGTGCACAGGTGAGAGAGAGCGTGCAGAACACAGGACTGGTATCTCCGATGTGCAGGTAACTCAAACCGGAAAACAAGCACTCCAATACAAAATGGGCAAAAGACCCAAAGAGACACCTTGCCGAGAAGCTACAGAGATGGCAGAGAAGCGGCTGGAGACACTAGCGTCATCCTGGGCCAGCCTTGGCTCTCTTGCCTTTGAGTCAGCTCGAGTCATGGTGACCTTGTGTACAACAGAATGGGACGCTGCACGTTCCCGCGTCACTGTCACAGTCACTGGTACGTTGGAGCCCACTGTTGCAGTGGGTGTGTCAATCCACCTCATTGAGGGTCTCCCTCATTTGTCATTAAGGAATTGTAAAATTAAACAACAACGAGATACCACTGCATGCCTATCAGAACGGACATAATCCAAAACGCTGACACCACCAGATGCTGACAGGGACGTGGAGCCACAGGAAAGCTCACTGGTTGCTGTTGGGAGCACACAGCGGTACAGCCACACTGGGAGGCGGTATGGCAGCCACTGACAAAGCTGAACAAAGGCTTTGTAAGCACGCAATCCAACAGTCACACTCCTGGGTATTCACCTCAATGAGATGAAAACATGCCCACCCAAAAACCTACACACGAGGGTGTATAACAGCTTCTTCATGATTACCCAGAACTGGAAGCAGCTTAGTGACATTTTAACCCCTCCACGTGTCCATCCTTAAGTCAGCATTGGGGAGGCAGCATTCTGCCCATTCATTCCTGTAACGCCCAGACTAGACCAGGCTCTACACAGACGGACGAGGAGTGGATACCACCCTCTCCTTGTTGCTTACCTCCTCCCAGCTCCAGGGAACTTCCTGCCATCCCTGCCCGGGCTCAGGCCTGCTGCAGCTAGAGGGACTGGTCACTGCTGTGAGGCTGCCCTGTGGCGTTCTGGTTTATGAGTGACAATGACCACTGTGCCACTGCCCACTGGAAAGAAAGACGGTCATCCTTCAGGCCAGGAGCCACTGGGCTCCCCCTGCCTCTGTCTCCTTGGAGGGCAGAGATTCATCACAAGGCTCCCAGCGCCTCCCCACCACGGCCAGGCCATGAGGCTGCAAGCCTGGGAGGGATCTGGCCTGAGCAGGCAGGGCCAGGGCAAGGGCCATGGGAACCCTCCACAGAGTGTGCTCGTTAGTGATCTTCACCCCAAGTGCAGCTGAAGTCAGGAGGTGAAGGCTCACTGGGGTGCATGGGGACTTCTGTGTCCCTTAAACACATGGGTCCTCCCCAGTCACAGCAGCGTCCTCCTTGTCACCCCAAAGTGTCCGGTTGCTGCTTCAAAACCTCCCTTTACAGAACTAGGTGGGGACGAAGGTGTGCGGGCAGGATGAGCTGGCGCAGTGTGTACCAGGCACGACTCTAGCGTGGTTTCCATCATCAGGGGCCACTCTGACCACCGTGCAAGCAGCTCGCCCTGCAACGCTGGGTTGTACCTGCGATGCCATGACAACAAGAAGTTAGCGGGCCCCCGGCTGAGCCGCATGCTTTCCCCATCTCAGGCGCCTGGGTACAGGTTGCATCAGGGAAGGGGCCAGCTCTCCACTCGCAGGTCCTTTGCCTAAGCCACCAGGACACGTATGCACATGAGCCTGTTCCCTACGTGCGGACATAGCATGCATGCCCCTCAGGGATATGTGTGCCTTCCAGGCCCTCAGGAACCCCAGGCCCCCTCAGACCCCCCCCCCAGGCTCCTCCAGGCCCCCTGGCCTCTCTAGGTGCCCCCAGTCCCCCTAGATCCACCTAGGCCTTCCGAGTGAAGCTGATGTCCTCTGCCTCCCCAGGTGGGCATCTTGCTGCACTACTCCACGCTGTCTACCATGCTGTGGATCGGGGTGACCGCCAGGAACATCTACAAGCAGGTGACCAGGAAGGCCCCGCCCTGCACTGGCACAGACCAGCCACCCGCCCCCAGGCAGCCACTGCTCAGGTACAGTGTCCACACAGGCAGCCACTGCTGAGGACCCAGACCCCGCTCCTTCCTGGGGCAGGGTCTGAGAGCGAGGGCACCATGCCAGGGACTGGGGGGCAGGCTGGTCTGCAGGTCATGTCACTGTGACTGGAGTCAGCTGGTCCGGAGGCCAGGCATGTCCCTGCAGGTGGGCAGTGGGGGGATGTTCATTTGCACAGAATCTCCAGGTGTTTGCAGGTGGGATAGGAGCAGGTGCTGGGACACTTCTCAGGCCAGGAGTGTTCCTGAGACATAGGACAGGAGTGCTAGAAGAGCTTGGTGGCCGTGGGAACCCCAAGTCACCTGGAGTGAGGGTTGGGTTGAGCACCGCATCCTCTCTCCCTCCCTCCTTTCCAACTGATGGCTGCATCTGGGAGATGCTGACATTAGTTTCACCTCACCACAGACATACCACCTCACCAAGAACTCATCCACCTCACCACAGACACATCCTCCTCACCACAGACACATCCACCTCACCAGGAACTCATCCATCTCACTGTGAACTCATCCACCTCACCATGGACACACCACCTCACCACAGACACATCCACCTCACCACAGACACATCCACCTCACCACAGACACGTCCACCTCACCACAGACATACCACCTCACCAAGAACGCATCCACCTCACCGAGAACTCATCCACCTCACCATGGACACACCACCTCACCACAGACACGTCCACCTCACCACAGACATACCACCTCACCACAGACATACCACCTCACCAAGAACTCATCCATCTCACTGTGAGCTCATCCACCTCACCATGGACACACCACCTCACCACAGACACGTCCACCTCACCACAGACACACCACCTCACCACAGACATACCACCTCACCAAGAACTCATCCATCTCACTGTGAACTCATCCACCTCACCACAGACACACCACCTCACCAAGAACTCATCCATCTCACTGTGAACTCAATCCACCTCACCACGGACATGTCCACTTCACCACAGACAAACCACCTCACTGAGAACTCATCCACCTCACCACAGACACATCTGCCTCACCATGAAAATGTCCGTGAGAAGGTGCAACTACAGGTTCCACCATTAGACATGCCCATGGTCGTGACCAGATAACAGTTGCTTGTAGCTGGAGTCCTGGGCTTTGCCAATGTTCTTTTCTTAATCAAGTAGAGATTCCCAGCACCAAAGTCCACAAAAACCTTGCACTGTCCATGGTCCGGCCTTGAGTGTGGGTGACAGCCCAGGGAAAGCATGTCATCCCAGCTCCAAGGACCAGTCAGGGCCACGGTTCTCTGAGGAACAGAGCACCAGAAGGGAGAGAGAGGGGTGTATTCAAGGGACCAGCTCAGTGATGGTTAGGCTGAAAAGTCTGAAATCTGTAGGGGAGGTGGTGGCAGCAGGTAGTTAAGTACAGGCAGGAAGCTCAGGCAGGCTTTCTGTGTTACAACCTTGAGCAGAATGCTCCTTCAGGAAGCCTTGAAGCCTTCCGTGATTGGATCAGGCCCAGCCACGCATTGAAGGTTCCCTCCTTCACCTAGAGCCACCTGACTGTAGACGTTCATCAAGTCTACAAAATGCCTCCACGGCAACATCAAGCAGTGGGGCTCCAGCCCAGGGCATATGTGGAACCCACCACACCCAATGCCTCACCGGCCCTTCCCTGGGATGGTCAGGGAGCCTTGGGAGGGCCTGGCCTTGAGCTGCCAACTGAGTTTTCCCAGGTGCCACCCCTTGGTGGGGCACACCACAGCCAGAAGGCTGCCATGGATGCTGGATGCTGGTGGGTTCCATGGGCGTTTGTAACTGCTTGTGGAGGTGGCTTGTGTGCAGGGCTGTCAGCACCTAGCCCCTCTGGCTAGCTCTGGCCACCTCAGCGTGTCCTAACCCTGTAGGAGATGTCATTTGAGGCAGATAGGACAACACGCTGTGTTGTTTAGACAAATACAGTAATCTGCCCAGGGCTTTGTCTGTTGGATGTGCAGATCTGGCCAACGCACTGCCACTTAGCAACCAGCTGGGCAGCGTCTCTGTGGTCTGAAGGGCCCAGCAGCAGGGATCCATCATCTTGTCTGCCCTGGGGGCCTGAGGTGTCCCCTGGGCTTGACACCCCCCCAGATGTCTGTTACTGATTGGAGGTGTCTGGGTGTGAAGAGTGCGGCAGGGGCCACGGAGCACCTGCCATTTTCCTCCTGGCTCTTTCCAGAGGGACATCATACTGTCTGGCAAGTAGTTCCAAGGTGGGCAGGCTGTGGGCTCGGACTTGGGGCATCATGTTCACAGATGCTCAGGGGCCGATGAGCTTACCTCCAAAATCTGTGGTCTGTTTTGCCCTTTCTAACAAGTGCTCCCAGCAGTCTCCTATTATTCCAGGCCTGCTGGGAGGCTTTCCACTTGAAAAGTACAGTGGTGCCAGCATGGAGCTGGTGAACCAAGGGACATCATGAGCCCAGCAGGGAGCGTGCTTTTACTCTCGCCCAATCATGGGGGGCGGGGGAAGGCGCCCGTCGCATGTGTGTCCTTGCCTGTGGAAGGCATTGTTACTCAGTGAGGAACCTCTCCTCAGCCACAGAGAATGGCAAAACCTAGGCAGGTTTCATGTATAACAGGACTGCAAGCCCCCAGAGGCTCACAGCCAGGTGGGCCTGGCACAGCTCCCATGCAGAGCAGAGAGCCTTTGTCATGGGCATGGTTAGTAGGACAGCTGCTGTGCAGTGCCTGGGAAGGACCTCAGAGGATCAGATGGCCCAGCCTCCAGGCTCCGGCAGGTGAGGGTACAGCAGTTGAGGCCGCTGCCGGCAGCAGGGGCTGCTCGTCCTGACCCAGGCACTGCACAGCAGCTGTCCATTCACCCCTCTTTCCAGCAGGAGTGAGAGAGGGGCAGCCAGGGTGAGATCTGAGCACACCCCTGCCAAGGGTGCCCCCCAAGTACAGCCTGGGAGACCCTCTATGTCCCCTCCACCCAGCCTGGCCCTAGAAGATGCTTGGGAAATGTCAGCTGGATAGTGAAGCATGTGTGCTCAGGTGTAGGCCCAGGTGTGTCTCCAGCTGTGTCTCCGGGTGTGGGCCCAGGTGTTCGCCCAGCAGCGGGAGGCTCCCCACTGGCTTCTGCAGTACTTGCTGCATCAGGTTGCCCCCTCTGCTGGGCTGCGGGTATGTGCTCATCACCAGGAGGGACCTGTTTGCAATGCCCACGTGTGAGGGATGGTGGCAGTGGGTCCCCAAGGCCAGCTCGTGTGGGAGGGTTCCTGGGAAGAATTGCTGGGAACCATGAGGAGCGCTCCACAGGAAACAAGGAGGAGCAGTCGAGAACCACAAAGTGGGGAGTGTGGCTAGAGATGCCCCCAAAGTGAGACCCACCCGGGCAGAAGGCTCTGAGCAAGGATAAGTAGACCCCTGGAGCACAGGGGAGCCGGTGAGGACAGGGCAAGTGCGGCTGAGTGGCACTGAGCCCGCCCCGGACGGACTGCTGCTCTGCGAGAGGATGGACTCTCACCGTCCTCAGGAGCGGGTGCCACACCCCTCTGTCCCCAGGCTCCAGGCCCACCCCATCCAGCCTCAGGATGGGGTCTTGGCAGGCCCCTGGCCCCTCCCTGCCTCTCCCATGACCCACACACCCCAGACATCTGCTGCTCCACCAGGGCGCCAGCACCCCAGGGGCAGCTGAGCACTGGGTCTCAGAGGAGGAGGCTGCTTCAGGGTTGGGGGTTTCTAGAGCAAGCTCCACCCCATTCCAGAAGCCCAGTGTGGGCCTGTCCTCGTCGTCTGCCCAAGTGTCTGTGGCCAGCAGCACCCCAGCCCCGACAGCATCAGGGCTCACCCACAGCCTTACTAAAAGAACTTTCTGGAATTGAAGGTTGCTTCGAGGTTGCTCGTGACCTGTGACCCAGCCTCACGTAGAGGACCATGTCTTGAGTATTAGCTAACTCGAGGCGGTGGAGGGCAGCCGGCAGCCATGTCTGCAGGCAGCTCAATGCCCTTGTGTGCTCCCAGGCCTCTCTCTCTGCCACCCCCAAGCACATCACGACAACAGCAGCTCAGGGTTCAGAGGCCCAGCGAGGACCCCACCCTGCCCTGCACCAGCCGGGTTTCTTCTCTCCTGAAATTCTGGCGTGTGCCTTTCGGCAAGGCCCCTGGTCACCGTGTGACTTGCGTGCCCAGGGGCGCCCTATCTCCCAACCCCTAGAAGCTGGCTTTGCACATGTCACCTGGCCTGTGGGGGTGGGCGGCCCGGGAGGACTCCTGGCAGGTTTCTAGAACCGGACCCGCAATGCCTCCCATGCCCACGAGCCCAGCTTCTCCTCTGGCCCCCATGCGGCCTCTGGTGGCCAAGCTGCGGGGCCCCACGCTCACCCCTCCCGTCTCTGCAGTGATCCTCAGCGTGCTCGTGGCTCACAGGGCCTCTGTGGAGTTCTGACGAGAGCCACCCCCCACCACATGCACACTATCACATTGGCAGCCGCTCCTCACCTGTCGCAGGCAGAGTGACACTGCCACTAGGCAGCTTTGGCGCACAGCTGGGAGACGGTCGGGTAGATTTCGAAGTGAGATGTTTAAGCACAGCTCTGGAGGCTTGCTGATTACTGCTGTAAAAAAACACTGAGGTGGAATTCTGAAACAAATGCCCACTGATAACGGGACGGCTGGCTCAGGACGGGCCATACAGAGAGCTAGAAGCCCCAGCGGGCTTGAGCTCATAGTCTGCTGGACTGTTCCACACTGATGAGACACTGAGCACTTGCCGTCTGCGTGCGCAGGCGCACTGGCCTTCACGCGTGCACTAGACCCACTGCTCTCACCAACCTGTCAGGTGTGACCAGATTCGATGGTGGGTCCCTTTTGAGGTCAGCCTGCTCTGGTCTCGAGTTGTGTCTATGGGGAGCCCTCACTGGAGTCCATTTTGCATTGGTTTCCAGCCTGCACACAGGTTGTCAGGACCCGTCAGTGTATGCACTGGCTGTAGTTTGGGGTGTCCCCTTACTATGCAGCGTGGACCAGAGGACAATGTGGTTTGCTCATTGCTCCCCATGCTGAGGGCTGGGCAGTGCTACTGTGGGCTGTTCTGTCCAGCTCCCTGTGCAGGATGTGTGGGACTGTGTGAGTGTGCAGGGTGTGCTGGGGGCCGGGCCATGTGAGCGTGCAGTGTGGTGGGGGCTGCATGAGTGTGCAGGATGTGCTAGGGGCCAGGCCGTGTGTGTGCAGGGTGTGCTGGGGGCCATGAGTGTGTGGTGTGTGCTGGAGGCCGGGCCGTGTGAGTGTGCAGGGTGTGCTGGGAGCCGTATGTGACGTGTGCTGAGGGCCGGGCCGTGTGAGTGTGTAGGATGTGGTGGACCATGAGTGTGTGCTGTGTGCTGTGTGGTATGTGCCGTGGGGCCGTCACCAACCCCCCACTTTGAGAGGTTGAACAACCCAAGTTCATCATCTCTCATCTCTGGGGTCAAATCCAAAAGGATCTAAGGGGCTATAACCAAGGTGTCGCCGGGCAGGTTCCCTCAGTAGCTTCCTGGGACGACCTACTTCCCAGCCTTTCCCAGCTCCCAGAGCTCCCACACTCCACCTGTGACCCTCCTCCTCAGACCAGCAGCGTGGCATCTTCTAATCTCTCTCTGATGGCCCTCTTGTTGCCTCTTCCACCAGTAAGGGCCACCCGGATGTAAACAGGTGTTTGATGGACATAAAAGGACAAGAGAGTAACTGTTGTATCAGAATTCAAGGGGCTGAGGCAGGTGCAGGAAAGACTTGGGAGGCTCCCGCTTCAAGGCTAGGTCTCAGACCTCATGGGGGAGGTTGTGGCTGCAGCCCTTCGTGGAAAAGTTGCCTGGTGCAGGGAAGACAGTCCTGCCATGGCCTCCCACGCCCTCTGCTGTCCATGCTGGGTACTGCTTTTGCCACAGGCCTCCGTCCCTTCAGGAGGCCACCAGTGGGTTTAATCTGCAGTCCACGGTCACTGGCTGAGGCTTAGAGCCACTCATAAAGCTCCCAGGACACTGGACATCTTGGGCCAGGCCTTCTAGAACCCTCTCTCCTGGCTGTTGGGGACTGCAGACCAGGTAGGTTCCAGGTGGGCTCTGTCATCCCCAAAGGGTTGTGGACCGAGTGTCCAGGGACTCTGGGGATGGGACTGCCACCAGGGGAGCCCCCTCTCCCTGCCTGCGCCGCCCACCACTTGCCTGGAGACAGCAACATGGCCTAGGGGCCCACCTTGTAGCCTGTCCGTCTGCAGGGTTCCACCCTCCCCTGCCTGCGCCCAGCTGCCCTCCTGAGGTGCCTGAGGGCTCCAGGTGGAAGGGCCGCAAACATTCCCTTCGAGAGGACATGTTCAGGGAAGAGGCCAGATGGTTTACCTGCTTTTCCCTGACGCTTTGCTGGGAGAGGTTACAGATGTCCAAGAATTGTTCAGTGGACACCACTGACCCCTCCCGGGATCCTACCCTCGGCATCTCCCTGTGCCCCAGCCATCTGCCCCGCCCTGGCCCCCAAGCCACCTTACTTTTGTGCACTTCGAGGTAAGCTGCAAGCACCCCAACAGCCCCACAGTCCACACCCTGAGTTTAGTGTTGCTTTACGGGGCTTGGTCTCGTGCAGCACCTATGCCTGTGTTTCCCTGGACACTTCACACTTTTTAACTCTCCGTGCATGGCCAGAGCCCAGAGCACATCCAAGCCCGTGTTCGTGCGCGGCGCGGCAGTGTGGCTGGAGGGTGGCGGTGCTGTGGGACCCTCTGCTTTCCTGACACTGTTGAAAAGAACCTCTTTCCCCGGCTGGTCGTGTGGTGTCTGTAGAAAGTCATTGAGTGTGTAACTGAGGCTGCACTGGACTCCAGCCGGTTCCCTTTACCAGTCTGTCCCTGGGATGTCACATCAATGTAATCACGGAAGCTTCATAAACCACAAAGCTCAGCTGCCATCAAGCTGATTCTGATGCATGGCGCCCCCACGTGTGTCAGGAGGGAACTGCGCTCACAGGGTTTACAATGGCTGTGACTTCAACTTCAAATGCCAGACTTTCAGTCTAAGCATTCACCTGTTTGTGTCACCAGGGACTCCTCCATTAAAGCTTTGTAACTCACTGCCATCCAGTCAATTCCAAGTCTAGCGCCCCTAGAGGACAAAGGGGAACTGTCCCGTAGGATGTCCAATGCTATCAATCTTCACAGAAGCAGAGTGCCTCATTTTTCTCCCACAGATCGGCTGGTGGGTTCGAACCACCAACCTTTAGGTTGACAGCCCAGGCTGTACCACCACACCAGCAGAGCAGCTGAGCCACCACCCAGGGACCCTGAGTTTCTCCCGGTTACGTTTTCATGGATGGAGGAAGTTCCCTTCTCTTCCTGGTTTGCTGAGATTCTGTGTGATCAACGTGCCCTGGATTTTGTCAAATGCATTTCCTGTGCCTATGCACCCATCCTCTCGTCTTCTCCCCCATTTTGCTTTATGCTGAGCAGCACTGATTGATTTCCTTGAAGGACAAACTAACCGCCTCTTTCTGGGATGAATCTTCATCACGAACGTCTGTACAGTTCTAGTTCGTATTTGGTAATATGTTTTTAGAGATTTTTCTATGTTCGTGAGGAACACTGTCAGGAAAAGTCCTTTTTCTTTTCAATGCCTGTTAGGTTTGCATCCTGGGTTTTGCACACCTCGTGAGGTGAGTTCGCACCTGTCCCTTTCTCCCCTATTTTGTGAAAGAGTTTGTGTGAGATCAGTGTTACTTGCTCCTTAGGGGTGTGAACTCCGCCGACTGCACTATCCGGCCGTGGTGTTCCTCATTAGGTGTTTTTTATATTGAATTCCGTTTCCTCAGCAGAAAGTTCAGATCCCCCAACTCTGCTGGTGCCAATCTGGGTGGTTTGTCTCCTTCCAAGGAATTTCTCCATTTCGACCAAGTTGCTGAGTGTGTTGGCACAGCGTTACTTAGAGCATCCGATCATTATTCTTCCAACGTCTGCAGACTGTGCGGTCAACGCCCTTCTGGGTATTGGCCGTGTGCTCTCTTCGTCACTCCCGCTAGGGCCTGGGAGCTTTGGTGATCTTGTCAGCTTCCGGCCTTGATCATTCTCCCAACTGTCTGCTTTCTCTCATCGGGTTCCCTCTGTGCTTTCCTTTTTCCGTCTTGCTAGGGTGGGATCTTGGGGTGCTGAATTTCAGGCCCTCCTCTTTTCTGGATGTAAGCACTTACGGCCGTACGCTTTCTTCTACGCCCTGCCTTAGCTGTAGCCTGTGAATCCTGACTGCTGTTTTGTTTATCAGTCTGTTTAGTTGCTCAACTCCCCTGGGCCTTCTTGTGATCCCTGAATGACTTACAAGTGTTCGTTTCCAAGGATGTGCGGTTTCCTAGTTACTGTCAGCTGTTTCTGTTTTCATTTCCTTGTGGTCACAGAATACTCCGTGTATGACTTCAAGCCTGTCATACACAGGCTTTGCTGTGTACGTACACATAGATTTGCTGGGACATTTTATGGACCGTCATCTGGTCTACCACAGCGAGCCGACAGTGCACCTGGCAGGGTGTGTGCTACACAGTAGCTGGCTGGGGCCCTTGGTAACCAACAGTGAGGTCAAGGCGATGGGTGGCGTTGCTTCCCTGGTCTCGTTGTTCAGCCAGTTGCTGAGAGAGGGGTGTTGTGATCTCCAGCTGTGCCCTTGGGAATGTCCGCTTCTCACTGAGTCGTTGCTTCCTGGTCCCTGTGCTTTCAGGGCTTGTACCTGGCTCACACGGTGACTCATGCGTTTATGGGCGTGAACTCACTGCTCCGCGGCCCTCTAATCTCCAGCAGCGCTCTTGAGCTCAAAGTCTGGTCAGCCATCTCAGGTTTAGAGTTTGCACAGCGTATCTGTTTCATCATCTCCTTTCAACCTGTGTCACAATATTTAAAGTGCTTCTATTAGGGACAGTGATTGATAATAACTCGATAGGTAAAACTTTAAAATAAATAGATGTTTAATGTGCTTTTTATCTCTCTGACAATCTCTGCCTTTTCATTGGAGTGCTTAGTCTAGTGAAATGTAATGTATTTTGCAGTGATTGGGTTTAGGCCTCCTTTTTAATGTTTGTTTTCTGGGTAAGTTGAGCTGTGACAGAGACACACAAAAGCCTCACTGATCCTACAGGGATGGAGGGCCCTTCACAGTGGCCTGTCCTGGGCTGTGGGGACTTTAATCTCCTGCACTGGCCAATCCCTGGATACCACTGCCCACAGGGAGGCGTGGGCCTTGGACGCTGTGGCCTGTTCCCAGAGAGGATCTGAGCTGAGAACCACTGGTCACTAGGCCCCCACAGCAGCGGAATGAGCAACCCCATCGTAAAGGGGGTTTGGGCTGCGCACCTGAATGCCCAATACAGTCCCTGCCCTGCCCACGGACAGGAGCACACAGCCTCTGCCAGTGCTGTGGTCCATGAGACACAGCAGCCAAGTGCAAGGGAGAAGCAGAGCACTGGGGGCCCTGTACCCCGGGTCCAGGCTCTACAGACCAGGAGGGAGAAGCGGAGCACTGGGGGCCCTGTACCCCCGGCAGCCTGGTGCTGGTGGGACTTGGGCCCCTTGTTTCTGCCAGTCAGGGAATGCTGCAGACAAGAGGCAGGACATGTCAGGGGATAAGTGCACCTCTGCTCTCTGGCAGGTTTTACCTCATCAGTGGAGGGGCGCCGCTCATCATCTGTGGGGTCACGGCCGCCACAAACATCAGGAACTACGGGACCGAGGACGAGCACGCTGCGTAGTGAGTGTCTCTGCTGCAGAAGGCAGTGGTGGGGCCGGTGACTCAGGGACAGCGCTCTCACCTTCCAGACGAGACCTGTTTCCTTGACCAGCCCTCACCTCACACCCTGCTGTCCGTGCGCCCTGTCCCCTCCCCCACCCTACTGTCCTCCCACCTGCACTTCCCCATGCTGCCCCCTCCCCATCCCACTGTCCCCTTGCCTCCCCACCCCACACCTCCCCCCCATGCTGTCCCCATCCCCATTCCCCCTGCCCTACTGTCCTCCTGCCCCCTGCCATCGCCTCCCAGCGCCAGAGCTCCCTCCTGCCCTTCCAGCGATGTCTTCCCACTTGGTCCTGGAGCTGGGCCTATTCATGATCACACCTGGTGGCTGCAAGGCCAGGCTACCGTCACAGGCAGGGCCTTAGCTGACCCTCAGGCCATTGAAAGGGATCCCTGATGTGGTGAGGACCCGCCCAGCTCCTCTCTCCTCACCCTGAGCTCTGAGGGCTCACTACCCCACTGGGCGTCTGCTGCAGTCAGAGTGCCCCCAGCTGGGGTGCCTCCAGGTAGGGAGAGAGAGGGCAGCAGAAAGAGCTGGGGCCTCCAGGGGGGCGTAGAGGGGGCGGGGTGGGGACAGGAGGCTCTAGGGTACTGCTCCAGGCGGCCTTCTGCTCAGAGGGCTCCCTCTGCCTCCCTGCGGACCTCTACCTGTGGACCTCAGGCGCCGGACCTAACCACTCCCCTCCCCACAGCTGCTGGATGGCCTGGGAGCCCAGTCTGGGCGCCTTCTATGGGCCGGCCGCCTTCATTGCCCTGATCACCTGCGCATACTTCCTCTGCACCTACGTCCAGCTGCGCCGCCACCCCGAGTGCAGGTACGAACTGCGGGAGCCGACGGAGGAGCAGCAGCGGCTGGCCGCGCCAGCCATGGGTCACAGCCACAGGGCAGGGGCAGGCACAGAGCCCAGCTGCGACGGCCCGGCAGCCTCGCTAATGCAAAACGAACACTCCTTCAAGGCGCAGCTGCGCGCTGCCGCCTTCACGCTGTTCCTCTTCGCCGCCACCTGGGCCTTCGGGGCGCTGGCCGTGTCGCAAGGCCACTTTCTGGACATGGTCTTCAGCTGCCTGTACGGGGCCTTCTGCGTGACGCTCGGGCTGTTCGTGCTTATCCACCACTGCGCCAAGCGCGAGGACGTGTGGCACTGCTGGTGGTCCTGCTGCCCGGCCCGCAGGCGCGCCGGTGCCGCACAGCCCGGCGCCAACGGGCACTGCCTGCAGGCCTCGCCACACCCCGCCCATGCCGGCCGCTGCAAGCTGACCAACCTGCAGGCCGCCCAGAGCCACGCCCACTGCCTGTCGCCGGGCACGCCGTGCTGCGCCAAGACGCACTGCGAGCAGCTGATGGAGGAGCAGGCGCTGGGGCGCAGCGGTGAGGACGCCTTCGGGCCCGGCCTGCACCCGCTCCAGTGCCTCCAGGGCAGGACTAAGCCGCCCTTCTTCAGCCTGTCCCGGGCCGCAGAGCGCGAGTGCGCCTACCACATCCCGTCCAGCCTGGACGGCAGCCCCCGCAGCTCGCGCACAGACAGCCCCCCCAGCTCGCTGGAGGGGGCGCCGGGCGTGCACGCGCTGGCCTGCTGTGCCCAGGGGGACCCCTTCCCGGTGGCAGGCCAGCCCGAGGGCAGCGGTAGCGTGCTCTACGGCTGCGCGCCTCGCCCCGGCCCAGCCCTCGGCCCGGCCCACTTCGAGATGCTCCGCAGGACACAGTCCCTGCCCTTCGGAGGCCCCGGGCAGAACGGGGCGCTCAAGGGTGCTGTGCCCTTCGGCGCCGACAGCGCGGGCAACATTCGCACTGGGCCCTGGAGGAACGAGACCACGGTGTAGCGGGAGGCGCGCTCCAGCCCCTGCGCCCGCCACGCCGCAAGCCCCACAAGCCTGTGGCCCTGGAGCGCCGCGAGGAGCTGGGCCTCTCTGCCCCGGGATGGAGTGGTGCCTCCAGAGCGACTTTCCCGAGCGGCTTCACTGCCCGGGACCAGAGGAGGGAAAGCGCTCTGGGCGCCCGCGCTGGACCCCCACGTCCACAGCCATGTCCCAACTGTTCGGTGCCGGCGGCGCCGCGGCGGGTCCTCCCCGGAGGCAGGGCTCCAGGTACCGAGCCCCTGCGCCCCCTCCGGCGGGCCCCACCCACAGGCCTGCGTCTGCGTCTGCATCCGCTGTGCGGGGTTGCGCGAGCGCGGAGGCGCTCACCGGCGTGTGTCTCGCACCTCACGTGGGTCTCCTCTGAGGTCTGCTTCCGGGGCTGGCACAGCCGAGACACCGGCGCCCTGGGCGCTGGCTCTTACGCGGCCCTGTCTGAGTGTGCATCCTCCACGGGGACACAACACGCGATCCCCAACTGCCGCTCCAGGCCGCCCGGCCCCGCAGGCCCGGGCCTCTTCACAACGCCTGGAGCACCTGGTGAACTCTGGGCTCGCAGCTTTCCCCGGCCGCCTGGGGGACAGGAGGCTCCGCTGCCTTGGAATTGCCCAGACACGCTTTAGTGGCGCCTCGACTGACCTGGACGCCATCCCACATGGGCACTGGGGACAATAAAGTTCTCTGTTCCAAAAAGCGAGCAGGCTGGCAGGCAGGCGGTTGTCACGTATCAAACCACTTCCCTGTGTTGCATTCCCATGACCAAGGGCACAAATCCTTGATGCAAAGGACGTGTGCCGATCACCAGAAATCTGTCACACAAGGTAGTTCCCAGAGCCGCTCCAGGCAGAGGCCCCAGCACCTGGATCCCCGCATCCCGAATGGGGACGTGCGCGCGCGCGCACCCTCCCAATTCTGTCGTGCACACTTGTACACACATCCACACATGCCTACACACTCACCCTAGCACACTTCTCGTTTTCTTGCACACTCACACTCAATTCAAGCCCGCCAGCCGCTCTGCAGGAGAAAGGTGGGCAGCCTGCTTCGGTGAAGACTGACAGCCTTGGAGAGCCCATGGGGCAGTTCCACTCTGCCCTCTAGGGGCGCTGTGAGTCGGAATCGACTGGACTGCAGTGGGTGTGGGTTTTGCACACTGAGTCTCGCACATTGACACACATAGTCATACACAGTCAGTCTCTCACATGTACGAACTCAGAAGTAGTTGGTTTTCCAAACGGTGGGAATCCTAGATGTTAATCCCCTTTGCAGACACTGTGGGCCAGCCGCCGCAGCTGGAGTGACTGCGATTGTGCTGAGGTTGGTGGTTGGGTCGCCGGGAGCAGGGCTGGCGGCCTGCTCATCCCCGTGGCTGGAGCCTCGTTCCCAGGGTGGATGGGCAGGACCTTGTGAGAGGCGCCGCACTTCGCTGTGCTTTGTAAATGGGCACACTGTCTCTAGACTCACCACCGTGTACTGTGCTCATCGAGATTCCCGCGTGTCACCTAAGCCCACCGGAGGCACCAGCTACATCTGCTTCGACCACGGCTTAGTCCAGGTCCACCTCGGCACACGTGCTTCCGGACCTGGCGCAGCCATGCGGACATGCTGCCATGTATGCGCAGTTGCAGAGCCGGCTCGGACAAAATACAGTGTCTGCATTGTTCTTCGTTGTGAGGCTGGTTCATGGCCCCGCGTGTCACTTGCTTGCAACAGAGGATGGGCCCCATGGATGCGTGGCCCCTGCCCTGCACCGGAGCCCAAGGTGGGTTGGGGAGCCCATGGGGCCGCACTCCTGACCCCAGGCCTCCTCACAGTTGGTGGATCTTGGAGTCCACTTCTGGCCCTCAGCACCCCTGCAGAGTGCACACTTCGCCATTCGAACCAAGGAGCGAAGCAGCGACTGTTAATCCTCAGGGTGTCCTGTGTCGGCCTGGGCTTGAGTCTGCTTGGGAACAGTGTGGTGCCGGTTCCGTTGCATGCTTAGGTGAGGTAGAGACTTCCCAGGATGGCCAGGGCGTCAGAGAGCTCGGTGTGTCTGTGGCTCTGAAGGGTCTGTGGAAGGTGGACCCAGCCCCAGTGCTGCTCAGTCTGATGTTTGTGTCACTTCCTTATATCGTCCATGTGTGTGCGCAGGCTTGTCAGTGTACACACTTGTGGTGAGGGACTTGTGCAGGGCTGAGTGTGTATGAGCGGCGGTAGGGGTGACTGGTGAGTTCTATGGAGGGCTGAGAGTGTTGAATGTGAATGAGTACATACATATGTGTGTGAGTACAGGAGGGTGTGTGTGTCATGGTCAGCCTGGCTATGTGTGTCAGGTACCTAGAGCTGCTGTAACAAACACCACAAGTGGGCCACTTTACAAGCTGAAATGTATTTTCTCCCGCCTTAGGAGGCTGCAAGTCCAAACTCAGGATGCCAGCTCTAGGGGAAGGTATCTCCCTGTCTGTTCTGAAGGAAGAGCCTTGTGTGTTTGTCCTGTTTCCTGGCTCCTTGGCAACCTCCTTGTGGCTTGGCACCTAGCTCCCTCCACCTCTGACTGCCTGTTGAATCTCTTACCTCAAAAGAGAGTGACTTGACACACCCTCCACTATACCTGCCTCCTTCGTAGGACAAAGACATTCATTCCAGAGTGAGGCTGTAACCATGGGCATGGGGGCTGGAATTTATAACACATAATTGGTGGGCATAATTCATAACATTCCACCATTTGGCCTCCAAAATTCATGTCCTTACCATGTACAAAACATCACATCATCTCAAAAGTCTTCAAGCCACTCCAAGTCCCAAATCTCATCTTCTCAATCAACTAAATCAAATACGGGTGAGACTTTATCCAACCTGGGCCAATTCTGTGAGCCTGTGAAACCTAGACTCCACGTTACCTGTTTCTGAAGTACTTTGGTGGAACGGGCACAAGGGAGACATTTCCATTACAGACAGGAGAAATCAGAGAGAAAGGGGAAGGGGCACCAAGCAGGAAAAACCAGCAGAACAACTGACCGTGGCTCTCAAACCTTGACAGTAATCCTCTGTTCTCTGCGACCATCTGGTCAATGGCCTCCCTCTGGATTCCCAGTGGAGGCCCCTCAGCCACGGGCTTCAGCTCTGCCTTCCAGGCCCACTGGAATGGTAACTCTGTTCCTTGGCTTTGAGCCTAGTCCATCTGAGTAGCAACCCTACCCCCTCAGCCCCAGCAGGCCCTGTCCTTCTGCCTCTTGGGCATGGCAACCCTGCCCCTTCTGCTCTGGGAAGTGGCTCCATCCCCTCGTGAACAGAAGCCCCACGCTCCAGAGCTGTGTTGGTGAAGATCTGTCTCTTTGAAACCTAGACGGCCACAGCCCCACCCCTTGAAACCGAGGCAGCCCTGTTTCCTGTGCTCCTGCCACAGTTCTGCTGATCTCCGAGCTGCTCCAGGGATGGTCTTTTCATCTCTTGGAGGACAACAGATGCAACTCCATTGGCCTGTTTCCCGCATGTAGGATTCCAGGAGGCAGACAGCATTCCCTCCTTCCATCCTTTCTCTGTCCCCTTTGGTCTAAGCAGATGGATTTTCTACTATGGTGGTTGGTTAGAGCCGTCAGTCACAGACTTAATCTCTTTAACAAAAGACTGTGCAGTCACATCCTTGGTGAACATTCTAGGATGTGTGGACTTAATTGTACAACAGATCTTTCCCAGTCTTTGTTTTGTTTTCATTTTGCACAGTTCATTTTTAAGTCCATCTCTTTCACATTCACTATAAATGGCAAGGAGAAACCATGTGGCCCTTTAAGATCTTGCATAGAAATCTCGTCAGCCAGATATCTAATTTCATCACTTACAAGTGGTACCTTCCACCAAACATTTGAACATAATTTAGACAAGTTCTTTGCCACTGCCTAAAAGGTATCGCCCTTCCTCCATTGTCCAATCACAGGTTCATCATTTTCTTTTAAAGCCTCACCAGATGCACATGTAATGTCCACATTTCTAGCAATGTTCTGTTGCTAGTGACATATGAATTCTCTGAGATGATAGATTTTCTCTGTAGCTCTCCCCGCTTCTGAGCCCTCATCAGAATTGTCTTTGACATCTGTAATTCCACCAACAGTCTCTTCAAGACAGTCTAGGCTTTTACTATTAAAAAACAAAAAACCAAACTCACTGCCACTGAGTCAATCCCAACTCATAGCAACCCCTCCTTGGACTTCCAAGGCAGTATCTCTACGGAAGGAGATTGATTGCCCAACCTTCCTTCTGAGGAGTGGCTAGTGAGTTTGAACCACCAACTTTCTGGTTAGCAGTCAAATACCTTAGGTACTAGGCCACTCTTAGGCACCTTAAAACTCTTCCAGCCTCTACCCATTACCCAATTCCAACACTGCTTTTAGGCATCTGTGAGGGCAGCACTCCACTTCTGGTACCAAATCTGTCTTAGCTGTCCCGTGTTGCCGTAACAGAAATGCCACAGTGGACGGCTGTAACAAACAGATTTTTTTTCTCGTGGTTTAGGAGGCCAGATGTCTGAATTGAAGGCATCTCTCTTCAACCTTCTCTGCTCTCTCATTTAATCTTTTATATCTCAAAGGGGATTGACTCAGACATACCCTACACCAATCCTGCCTCCTTAACAGAATAAAGACAGCACGCTCTATAATGATACTATACCATAGGCACAGGGTTAAGAATTACAACATGTATTTTCAGGAGCACAATTCAGTTCATAACAGCATGTGTGTACACATGTAGGGGTGCATCATATGGTTAAGTGGTGTGCATGTACATGTGTGAGTGCATGTGTACATATATGTGTGTAGTGTGCACATGTGTGAGTGTTGTGCAGGTGCATGTGTGAGTGGTGTGTATGTGTGAGTGCGTGTGCACATGCATGTGTGTGGTGTGCATGTGTGTGCATGTACATGTGTGTGTGGTGTGCATGTATGTGTGTTAGTGCGTGTGCTTTAGAGAGAGCAATGAGGGCGGCCACC